GTGTAATCATTTCTCTCACAGAAAAGCCTTTCTGGTGCTTCCATTCAAACATTTTCTGACCTTGATCAGTGAAGTAAAGGAGCTAGGAGAGTGTTCTCTAGTTTATGTTTGGTTGCAAACAGATGGGCAATGACAATGTATATGTCCAACATTTAATTCACTGTTAACTTTTCCAGCTGCATGATCAAATGTAGAAGTTTACCTATCTAATTAAAAACTGTTGGGGTTTTCCTCCTGGAGATTCAGTTTGATGCTCTTTTTACCAAGCAGAGACAAGCACTCCAACAAGTAGCAGGCAATATAAAAGGAATGGGCTCCGCAGGGCAGTATAGCTTCGAACTTTAGTGTGAACTTCTGAGTTACAGAAAAATTAGTGAAAAATGTTCTCTTATAGCATTATTAATTAATTACACTACTAATTCTTTAATTTGTTCTATATTTACAAAGACCAGAGCCACTGTGAACACATTTTCTGCCTAACCCAGAAACTCAAAGTGTTTCTCCTATGGTTCTTCTTTCTAAATTCCTTGCCTTGTATAAAATGCAAAAACTTGCAAATTCACCTTTGTCAGGTCCATAAGAGTGCTTCTCTTTTAAGGTAGTTTAACCCAAAGAGTCTTTAGAAGAGCTCCATCCCTGATTCTGTTTCCAAAGAATATTACTAATATGGGCAAATCTAAAGCCCGTAAAGAGGCTTAGAAACATATTTGAACAAAATCTTTATTGAGACCTTAACATGTAAATGTTGTGTAATCTCACAAGATCACATTTCCACAGATTTCAATTCTTAAAAATTTTTTAAATTATGTAGTTATGTAGAACTTTTGCTGGTAGTTACTAAAACAAAGTCAATTTATTGCCTATACTACTGAGCACTTTATGTCCTAGCAATAAAGAAAAGCATGCCAAAAATGCATCGATGTGGTTCTTTCCTGAGAAAAATTCTACAGAGACTAAAAATAGGCAAGTAGAAGTTAAACTATGTGAAAATTAAGAGAAGCAATGAAAGCTTCAGAAACTGTGAAACATCTTCAACTTTGTATTATCTAGCTAACGTGTAGATAGTAAAATGACCAAAAATATATCAGAAAGGTTTTATATTATTAACTGAATGAATATCTGACTATAAAGCAAAGTCAAATTAACAGATAAAATAATGGGAGGAGTAAAATGATTCACCAAATAGAGAAGGAGAAAAGAAGACAAAGGCTGAAAGAGAATGCAATAGTAGTCAATTAAATGAACTTAGTACACTACATTTTTATGTAGATAAATGTAGAAAATGAGAAGAGAATTTCAATATGCATAAATTTATTTACTCCAAACAGATCATATCAACATGATGTATAGGCATACCTCCTTTCATTGCACTTCACAGATATTGAGTCTTTTACAAATTGAAGGTTTGTGGCAACTCAGCCTTAAGCCAAGCCTATCAGTGCCATTTTTTCAACATGTGCACACTTCCTGTCTCTGTGTCACATTTTGGTAATTCTCACAATAATTCCAACATTTTCATTATTATTATGTCTGTTATAATGACCTGTGAGCAGTGATCTTTGATGATACTATTACAATTGTTTGTGGGAGCCATGAATGATGTCCATGTAAGATGAGGAACTTCATAAATGTTGTGTGTGTTCTGACTGTTCCACTTACCAGCTGTTCCCCCATCTGTCTGCCTCTCCCTAGGCCTCTCTATTCCCTGGAACACAATAGTATTGAAATTAAGCCACTTAATAACCCTACAATAGCCCCTAAGTGTTCAAGTGAAAGGGAGGGTTGCACATTTCTCACCTTAAATCAAAGCTAGAAATAATTAAGCTTAATAGGGATGGCATGTCGAAAACCAAGATAGGCAGAAAGCCAGGCCTCTTGCAACAAACACCCAAGTTCAGAATGCAAAAAAAAGTTCTTAAAATAAATTCAGGCCAGGCACGGTGACTAACACTTGTAATCCCAGCACTTTGGGAAACCCAGGCGGGTGGATCACAAGGTCAGGAGTTCAAGACCAGCCTGGCCAAGATGGTGAAACCCTGTCTCTACTGAAAATACAAAAATTAGCCGGGCATGGTGGCAAGCACCTGTAATCTCAGCTACTCAGAAAGCTGAGGCAGGGAATTGCTTGAACCCAGGAGGCAGAGGTTGCAGTGAGCCGAGATCCACAACTGCACTCCAGCCTGGATGACAGAGCGAGACTCTGTCTCAAAAAAAATTAATTAATTAAATAAAATAAATAAATTCTAAGTGCTACTCCAGTGAACACAAATAATAAGAAAGCAAAACAACCGTATTACTGATATGGAGAAAGTTTTAGCAGTCTGGATGGAAAATTAAATCAGCCACATTTCCTTAAGCCAAAACTCAATGCAGTGCAAGTCTCTAACTCTCTTCAATTCTGTCAAGGCTGAGAGAGATGAGGAAGGTTCAAAAGAAAAGTATGAAGCTAGCACAGGTTGGTTCTTGAGGATTAAGGAAAGAAGCCATCTTCATATCATATAAGTGCAAGGTGAAGCAACAGGTGCTGATGCAGAAGTTGCAGCAAGTTATCCCCAAAAAATCTAGCTAAGATCATAGATGAAGGTGGCTAAACTAAACAACAGATTTTTAACATAGTCAAAATAGCCTTCGATTAGAAGAAGATGTCATCTAGGATTTTCATAGCTAAAGAAGATAAGTCAATGCCTGGACTTAAAGCTTCAAAGAACAGGCCAACTCTCTTGATAGAGGCTAATGCAGCTTGTGACCTGAAGTTGATGCAATGCTCATTTATCATTCTGAAAATCCTAGGGCCCTTAAAAATTTACCTAAATATACTCTGCATGTGCTCTGTAAACAGAAAAACAAAGCCTGGATGACCACACATCTGATTACAGGATGGTCTCCTGAATATTTTTTAAGCCCACTATGGAGATCTACTGCTTAAAAAAAAAAAAAAGATTTTTTTTTTTTCAAAATATTACTGCTCATTGACAGTACACCTTGTTACCCAAGAGTTCTGATGGAGGGGTACAAGAAGATTAATGTTGTTTTCATACCTGCTAATACAATATCCATTCTTCAGCCCATGGAGCCAGGAGTAATTTCGACTTTCAAATACTATAATTTAAGAAATACACTTTATAAAGCTATAGTTGCCCTAGATAGAAAACTATGGGAAAGCCTGGGTGAGGTTCAAACCTCAGTGTTTACCAATTCCTCCAGGAGAGTCCTATGCATGCCAGTTTGCAAACCACCACACTAGGGTAACTGGTCTCAGTTACACACAAACTGTTAGAAAACCAGGTGTCTTTCACAGACCTTTGGTCCCTTATGTTAGTCCTGTCAAACCAGGACTCTATCTTTCTCAAAGGTCATTTTATTTCTTAAGCCCTATGTCCTGCCTTTGCCCCTGAACCTTGACTGAAGCTACCCTAATATTCCCCAATTTTAAATCCTGGGGAGAAGGAATGAGAAAAAATCATTATTGAAGCAACTATTTTCTCTCCTGCAATTACCCTCTTCACACCTGGTATTTCAGGGAATAGCCATTTAAGTCCCTCCCAACCAAATCCTAGAACAGAGGCTACAAATGTCACCTATATTTGTATAACAAACAAAGCAAGGCAAGTAATCCTTTATAAATCAAAGAAAATCCAGGCAAAATTATACCCTCAAACGATTTTTTCTTTTTTTTGCAATGGAAGTACATGATTCCCACTTGTCCTTCAGCTCTAGGAAAGCTTTTGTATTGTGTGAAAACGGCAGGCCTTAGGACCAAGAGGCTGAGTCTATAGATCATCCCTCTTTTTCTTACATATTTGCTCACAAATTCCACCAGCAACAAATTAGTGGTGGTAGGATTATTTGATCTCGTCAAATACTTTGTAAATACTTAGATATTTTCTCTATCCCTTATATACTTTCAAAGAGACTAATGTTCTACACACATGAACAATCAATTTATTGTATAATTTTCATAAGTCAGTAATAACCTGTAGTCAATATCAATCCATAAAGAAAACTGAAAACACTTACCTTATTTTAATATAAAGAGAGAAAAAAACTCAAGAGTTTGATTATTGCTTTCTTCAAACTGCATTAGCTGGAACAATATAACAATGAAATTCAAATATTAATATTAAGTGTCAATTCAAAGTTTCCATAGAGGATAGCCAATAAGGGCATACATTTTTTATAGCTACTAAAATAGTCAGTGTTGCTTTGCCTTTATGTAAAATTTAGCAAATGACAAATTTCTTTTAAGTAGAAGCTTTAGAGTATACTGCAGTATGTGTGTTACTATTAATGGTAATAGAATCTTATGAATACTGCTAAGGATTTTAAGCATCACCTGTACACATAGCCAGGTCAGCCATCAAGTGTACCAAGAGGACCTTCCATTGAGACTCTGCCACACTTAGCCCTCCCAGAACAAAGAATACTACTTTGTGGGTATTGGCCCTCTTCAACTAGCAACAGAGCTGGTTGCTTTAAAGATTTACAGTCATGTGTCACTTAACAATGGGGATACATTCTAAGAGAAGCATTGTTAGGCAATTTCTTCATTATGCAAACATCATGGAGTATACTTACACAAACCTAGGTGGTATAACCTTCTACACACCTAGGCTATATAGTATATATTGCTCCTAGGCTATAAATTTGTATAGCAAATTAAATACTGTGGGAATGTTGCAGGCAGTTGTGTGCAGTGGTAAGTATTTGTGCATCTAAACATATCTAAACATAGAAAATGTACAGTTAAAATATGATATTATAATCTTATGGGACCACTGTTGTACGTGCAGTCGGTCCGTCATTGAGTAAAATGCCATTCTGCAGCACGACTGTACTTTATTTCTTTATGTGACCATTAGGGTAATTATAAACCATTATAAGCAAATATAATTTAGTTTTTTATTTATGTAAACAATACTGTATTCATTTGCTTAAATGAGAGCAATTCTGAGGGTTTTTTTTTAAACTAAGTCAATTCAAGAAATCATGGGGATGAAGAACGGTAATGTACCATTAAATGAAATTGAAAGATAACAAACAAAGTTCATTTTAATCAGTAATTTCCATTTCCTTCCACATCAAAACTTTTGCCAAAGCAATTAATAATAAAAAAATTAATTAACTGTATTCTTTCTTCTACCATATATGAAATAGTCAAAGGGTAGCAGCAAGAAAGAGAAGGATGTGGTATCTGGACACATCAAAAAAAACCAGTCAGTGATCCAGAGTTGTTTACAAGCGGCACTTTAGTCTTTAATATTCCTGAAGTTCTATAAAACAGATTTCTGTTCAAAATATTCCAAAGCACTGAATACTTTGGCATGGAATTATAAAAATGAAAGAGCCTGCACTTTGGAGACAGATCTGTACATAAATGCCCACCGTGTGACCTTTGGCAATTCAATCAATGTCATGAACATCATCATATTTACAAATTGTGCTCTGCCTCATAGGGGCTGGTACAAGGATTGTCTCAAATGAGAGAAGTAAAGTACATCATGTGTCATCTGGCACCTAATAGGCATTCAATAAATGGTAAATATCCACGTAATTTTGAATAGACTAATTAACCCTTTCCATTCATGCCTACCCTCTCGTAATCCACTCATGAATAAAATGATTTTACAGTCTTTTATCTCTGTAATTTATATTTATTCTGAAACAAAAACATCTACATAAGCTAATGCACACAGCTGTCTTCGCTACTTGAAAATTAGCCAGGAAGTTAGCAGGTAAGTGCTCCTTTTAGGTCACCAGTTAATACAGGTGTTTTAGGTTCCTGGAAGCTTTGCTCTCAGAGGAAAAACATTTCAGAGAATCTGAGAAAGCATCAGGTCAACCATAATGAGTCTGAGACCAGATGCCAGTCATAATTTTAGGCCAGCTGCTACCTCCTTTCGAGTCTGAACAAAGACCTAACCTCTGAGAGAATAGCTCTCCCTCTACCTAGGAATTGTTAGCAGAGAGAACTATATGAAACAGATTTTGACAAGATTTAAAAGTCTTACTGGACTGTAGCATAACTGTAGTGGAATGAGGTCTTGGATAGGATTGGGATTTGCCAAAACAGTATGTGAGTGAAGACAAGCCTGAGAAGTACACTTGGTCAATGATAAAGTTGTTAAACTTAGAGAAACATAGTAGCTTCAAATAAGACTCTCAGAACTTCAGTTAAGTTTTATCCCCACCCGACAGCATGCTGTAGCAGGTAATACCCAAGCAAACAAATTTGACACTCATCTCTGTTATATGCCAACTGTGTGATTTGGGGCAATTTATGTACATCTTCCAAGTTTCATTTTTCTCCTCTTTAAATTGGTGGAAATCATAGCACCTATGCCATAGGATTGCTGTGATTATTAATCGAGCTAATAATATAAATTTCTTAGCACTATGCCTGAAATGTAATAGGGCTCAACCAATAGTGGCTGTATATATCACACGGCAGATACTAGCATAGACAGAAAACGTAAATTCACTGTGACTTAAATAAAAAATAAACTTATTTTTCTTTCACATAAAATAAGTGTTGAGATAGGAAGCCCAGGGCTCTTACTGTTTTTCGTTCCATGATCCTAGCAGTCACAGTCCATCTTCAAGGGCATTTAGTGGTCAAAAATTACTGCAGAAGCCCCAACCATCATAGTATATTCAACTTCCTAAAGACAGAAAAAAAAGGGGGGGGGGGGACAAAGGAACTAATCCCAAATGTCTGCTCACTTTTCAGGCTCTTTCCCATTCTGTAACAACTTTTATCCAACATCGGCTTACATCTCATTGGCCAGAACTGAATCAAGTCCTGTTGCAAAGGGAGGGTAGAGAATATAGTATTTTAGATGTCCAATAAAAATTACAGTTAGGCACACACAAAAAAGAAATTCCTTAAAAAGATTACAGTAAAAATGAAGTGGAAATATGGATTTGATAGGAAACAAGCGTAATCTGCCACAATGTGCTACATTGGTTCTCGTTCATCATTCAGTCTTTCACTGCCTTTACTAAATTGACCATCTCTTTCTTCTATCTGGAATAATTCATGAAGTACAGACCTTTTCTCCCTTGTGTTTTTCCTCCAAGTACCCCTCCAGTATTCATCATCTCTATGAGGGGTTCAAAAATTTAAATCTCTCAAGTTAGAAGTCAGATGAAGATTTCAAGACTCTTGCAATCTAGATAAGGTTTGTTCAAATCCCGATTTCAAGATTCAAAACCTTATCGAAGACTTTTGCCAACTCCCATAGCTTCTATTTTCCTGATGATGTTTGATTTCAAGCTTCTGTTACCCGGTGTACCATCTTTTCTGAGCTATTCCAACCCAGTTGTAACACCCAGAACCTTTATTGATTTTTTAAAAAAGATGATAGATAGATAGATCTACTGATGTTGATATAGCTCTAACTCCCTACTTTCTCATGCAATGTATTTGTAAGCAAAAATAGGCATGACTAGAAATCTGCAGAAAAACCAGAAACATGACAACAATTTCAAAGGTAATATTTGACATCCACCTTCTTAAAATGTCCATTATTCACCCTACAATGATAAATCTTCACTAGCCATGTCAGCATTACAACCCCTTTCCATATAGGTCCTGTGTCTACTGCGCTTTCCTCTCCTAACCTTTTCATCTTGGGAGAAAAATGAATTCATCACATTCTTTACCTGGATTATTGAGATAGCCTCCTAACTGGTCTCTCTGGTTCCACTTTGCCCTCCTGCTGTCCACTTCCATCCTAGCAGTCAGAAAGGTTCATTTGAAAACTCATCAATTCACGCCACTCTTCTCTCAGAAACTTTTAATAGACTCTCATCACACTATGAGTAAATGCCAAAGTATTTACAGTTTGTCCTACATAACCTGGTCCCCTAGAAAGTATTAAACAAAAGGGTTAATATAATAGTTACCATTCCTGCCTTATTCATCAGCTCCAGCCACAAAGGCCTCCTCGCTCAAAGACATTCCTCCCCAGACATTCCTTCCCCGCTGCTTACAACAGTTTCCCTCAGTTATCAATCTGCCTAGTTCTCACACTGTCTTTAGGTTTTTGCTCAATTGCCACCTCAGTGAAACCTTCCTAGGCACCAATTTTTTTTTTTAATTTAAGTTCTTGGACACATGTGCAGAATGTGCAGGTTTGTTACATAGGTATACATGTGCCATGGTGGTTTCCTGCACCTATCAACCTGTCATTCAGGTTTTAAGTCCCACATGCATTAGGTATTTGTCCTAATGCTCTCCTTCCCCTTGCCCCCACCCCACAACCAGCCCCAGTGTGTGTTGTTCCCCTCCCTTTGTCCATGTGTTATCATTGTTCAACTCCCACTTATGAGTGAGAACAAGCGGTGTTTGGTTTTCTGTTCTTGTGTAAGTCTGCTGAGGATGATGGCTTCCAGTTTGATCCATGTCCCTGCAAAGGACACGATCTCATTCTTTTTTATGGTCGCATAGTATTCCATGGTGTATATGCACAAGGTCTTCTTTATCCCATCTATTATTGATGGGTATTTTGGTTGGTTCCATGTCTTTGCTCTCATAAATAGTGCTGCAGTAAACATATGTGTGCTTGTATCTTTATAGTAGAATGATTTATAATCCTTTGGGTATATACTCAATAATGGGATTGCTGGGTCAAATGGTATTTCTGGTTCTAGATCCTTGAGGACTCACCACAATGTCTTCCACAATGGCTGAACTAATTTACATTCCCACCAACAGTGTAAAAGCGTTCCTATTTCTCCACAGCCTTGCCGCATCTATTGTTTCCTGACTTTTTTAATAATCACCATTCTGACTGACGTGAGATGGTATCTCTTTGTGGTTTTGATATGCATTTATTTAATGATCAGTGTTGATGAGCTTTTTTCATATGTTTGTTGGCCGCATAAATGTCTTCTTTTGAGAAATGTCTGTTCATAACCTTCACCCCCTTTTTGATAGGGTTGTTTGTTTTCTTCTTGAAAAGTCCTCGTAGATTCTGGATATTAGACATTTGTCACATGGGTAGATTGCAAAAATTTTCTCCCATTCTGTAGGTTGCCTGTTCACTCTGATGACAGTTTCTTTTGCTGTGCAGAAGCTCTTTATTTTAAATAGATCTCACTTGTCAAGTTTTTGCTTTTGTTGCAATTGGTTTTGGTGTTTTCATCATGAAGTCTTTGCCCCTGCCTATGTCCTGAATGGTATTGCCTAGGTTTTCTTCTAGCATTTTTTATGGTTTGGGGTTTTACATTTAAGTCTTTAATCCATCTTAAGTTAATTCTTGCATAAGGTGTAAAGAAAGCGTACAGTTTCAGTTTTCTGCATATGGCTAGCCAGTTTTCCCAGCACCATTTACTAAATAGGGAATCCTTTCCCTGTTGCTTTTTTTGGTCAGGTTTGTTGAAGATTAGATGGTTGTAGATGTGTGCTGTTATTTCTGAGGCCTCTGTTCTATTCCATTGGTCTATATGTCTGTTTTGGTATCAGTACCATTATGTTTTGATTACTGTAGCCTTGTAGTATAGTTTGAAGTCAGGTAGAGTGATCCTTTAGCTTTCTTCTTTTTGCTTGGTTTAGTCTTGGCTATACAGGCTCATTTTTGGTTTCATATGAAATTTAAAGTCATTTTTTTGTAATTCTGTGAAGAAATCAATGGTAGTTTAACGGGAATAGCACTGAATCTATAAATTACTTTGGGCAGTATAGCCATTTTCATGATATTAATTCTTCCTATCCATGAGCATGGAATGTTTTTCCATTTTTTGTGTCCTCTCTTATTTCCTTGAGCAATGGTTTGTAGTTCTCCTTGAAGAGGTCCTTCACATCCCTTGTAAGCTGTATCCCTAGGTATTTTATTCTCTTTGTAGCAATTATGAAATGGAGTTCATTCATGATTTGGCTCTCTGCTTCTCTATTGTTGGTGTATAGGAATGCTTGTGATTTTTGCACATTGATTTTTTTATCCTAAGACTTTGCTGAAGTTGCTTATCAGCTTAAGGAGTTTTTGGGTGAGATGATGGGGTTTCTAGATACAGGATCATGTCATCTGCAAATAGAGACAGTTTGACTTCCTCTTTTCCTATTTAAATATGCTTTATTTATTTCTCTTGCCTGTTTGCCTGTGCCAGAACTTCCAATACTATGTTGAACAGGAGTGATGACAGAGGGCATCCTTGTCTTGTGCCAGTTTTCAAAGAGAATGCTTTCAGCTTTTGTCCATTCAGTGTGATATTGGCTACAGGTTTGTCATAAATAGCTCTTATTATTTTGAGATATGTTCCATCAATACCTAGTTTATTGACAGTTTTTAACATGAAGGGATGTTGAATTTTATCAAAGGCCTTTTCTACATCTGTTGAGATAATCATGTGGTTTTGTCATTGGTTCTGTTTATGTGATGGATTACTTTTATTGATTTGTGTATGTTGAACCAGCCTTGAATCCCAAGGATGAAGCTGACTTGATCATGGTAGATAAGCTTTTTGATGTGCTGCTGCGTTTGGTTTGTCAATATTTTATTGAGGATTTTTGCATTGATGTTCATCAGAGATATTGGCATGAAGTTTTCTTTTTTTGTTTTGTCTCTGCCAGGTTTTGGTATCAGGATGATGCTGGCCTCATAGAATGAGTTAGGGAGGAGTCCCTCCTTTTCAAATTTTTGGAATAGTTTCAGAAGGAATGGTACCAGCTCCCCTTTGTACCTCCAGTGGAATTCAACTGAGGATCTGTCTGGTCCTGGGCCTTTTTTGTTCGGTAGGCTATTAATTACTGCCTCAATTTCAGAACTTGTTATTGGCCTAGACACCATTTTTATAATAGCAACCTTTCACGTCCCAATTACTCATCCACGTTCCCTGCTTTACTTCTCTACAGAATACTTACCTTCTGACAGTCTACATAATTTGTTTATATATTTGCTTACTTTCTCTTCTGTTTAGAATGTAAACCTCATGAGGGAAAGAACTGTAGTCTGTTTTGATTATGCTCTATCTTCACAATATCTGAAATCATAAGTTCCCAATAAATATTTGTTAAATAAACCAGAAAAGGAGTTTTTTCGCACAGATAATCTTAGCTATCATTTGTACATTTGTAGTGACTGGGCTTCTGCAGAGATCCTCTTTACATCAATTGGCTTATTAAATTAGTTTTCCAGATCAACTCCTTAAAATGAATGCTTTGCCAGCTCTTAAGAAAACAATTTTCCCAAGTTCCACTTTAAACCAAGTTCCACATGCCTTTGTGGGGGCCATGGAGGAGTATGGCTCAGATTCCAATTCGAGTAAGAACCAGCTACAAAGAATATAGGTAGCTGATGACCTTCACCTTTAGGATCCACCACAACAGCATTCATGCAGAAGCCACATCTCTCCTGGTTGCTCCCTGCCAGTGACCAAACACAATGGGAATACTAGTACCAGGGCACTTATGCTCAATGTAGGACTTCTCCGGTGGACAGATTTTTCTCTGGAGCTCTCACTGACCTTTCCAAAACTTGTTCAAGACAGCACTATGGTCAGGCTGTTCCTACCAATCTGCCTCTTTTCCCTTTCTCTTTTTACAGGTATTGCATCTGCATCTGTAAGATTCCCTATGGACTCTGCTCCTTCCCCCATTATCTTTCACAGGCATTGTCTTAATTATTCTCTTATACTTCAAATTCTGTCTTGGTGATTGCTTCTCAGAGAACTTGGTCTGATACAGTCTTTTAGACATTTCCATTTGGATACGCTCTAGTCAGCTCAAATCCAGTATGTTCAAAACAAACTCAAGAGGATCTCATGAAAGTTGGCCCCAAACATTGTGGATTAAGTTGAAACCATTTTCAACAGAGACCTGTTACCGTGGGGAAAATGGCCCAAAAAGTACTGAAAACTATCTCCTGGGACTAAGCATAGCAGCATCCCTAGACCAGAACACTTCTAGTCATATTGAACCACTCAGGTGATTGATTACTTAGATATGAAGAACATCTTCTAGATTTTGTACAAAAGGCCCCAGACACTTGAAGTAGCCATTTTTTTTTTTTAGAATATAATGGCTTTAAATAATCTCTGATCCTAAAGTTAACTAAAAATAACAGTAGAAAACTAAGTTTTAAAAGACCCAGTTTGGGATTATTTTTATCATGTAGTTTATTAAAATAAAATAATAGCAAAATATTACCTTTTTAGAGGCGCAGGCATTTCTTCTATATTTTGGTTCAAACCAGATCATACAAGTAGAAAAGTATTTAAGCTGGTGAAATTTTTGTTCTTTTTTTCTTCAGTCAGAGTTGTAAGATATGGTTGATCTGTGTACTAAGTGATTGAAACAGTTTCAAGTTACTGTTTAAATGTTGCTAAAGTTTCAAGATAGACATTTTTACCTTTACTTGAAAAATACAGGAATTTCTGATGTTAGCTCATTCCATGTCACAATGGGACATCTTTTCTAAATAAAGACATTGAAAGAGTAAAAATAAGATGTTGCTGTTTCACAGGAGCATGATAGCAATGGTATCGCTACATGTATCCCTGATGATTAGGAGGGCTCTTTCCTTCAAAGGTAAAATTTTCTTTTGGTGTTTGCTTTTTGGTTCCCAAAAGAATTACTTCATCTGGAGAGTATATACCAATTCTGCAAACACAAGGAACAAGAAAAAAACAGGCTTCAGAAAATCTATAATCTTAAATATAAGGAACTTGGCTAATTTTGGTCATAGCCATATAACAATGTATAATAGAAGTATGAGTAGCTGACTTGAAATAACTTTACATGAAATACCTACATGTTAAGTATCTTCAAAATACTTCAACACTATTTCAAAGGAAATACAATTTTTAAATACACAAACTAGATTATTTTTTCAGTATCATTTATTCCTTGCATGTATCATCCAATTTTTTTTTTGAAACAAGATCTCCCTCTGTCACTCAGGCTGGAGTGCACTGGCATGATCTTGGCTCACTGCAACCTCCAACTACCAGACTCACACGATCCTCCCACCTCAGGAGTAGCTGTGACTACAGGTGTGTGCCACCACACCTAGCTAATTTTTTTGTACTTTTTATAGAGATGGGGTTTCACCATGTTGCCCAGGCTGGTTTCAAACTCTTAGACTCAAGTAATCCACCCTCCTCAGTCTCCCAAAGTTTTAGGATTACTAGAGTGAGCCACGGCTCCCAGCCACTATCCAATTTTTCTTACATTCCCCGGTTACCTCCATTAGAATGTCCAATACCAATCAAAGTGATCTGAAGAATTTTATCATCTATGATTCATATCTTAATAATAATTTTGTCTTAATAAAAAATTTTCACAATGCTCCTCAAAATTTTGTGATTTTTTTTTTTTTTTTTTTTTTTGATGGTAGAGAAAAAAAATTAACTCAGGCTGAAGCAAAGCTATGCTATACCATTTTAGGAACACTCTTTCTGACTCAATGAAAACAGACTTAAACACCTCACACTAAGTACAATAACAGGAAACATTTGGTCACAGCCGGTAAAGAACAAGACCGGTCCAAATGGTATAAAGGCTTAGTGCCTAAAGTAGCTCCTGCTAAAGTTCACCATGGAAAAGCTAAACCAACAGAATTGAAGTTGGGGCTTCCTTCACTAATAACTCCACTTATAGTATTGGCAATTTTAATACTTGTAAATCCACTACCAAAACTGTTAGTGCAACAAATTTGGTGACAGAGTATAATCATTCAAATTTCTTTTTCCTTTCCTTTTCTTTTTTTTCTTTCTTTTTTTTTTTTTTTTGTGTGTGTGTGTGTGTCTGTGTGTGTTTGTGTGTGAGACAAGGTCTTGCTCTGTCACCCAGGCTGGAGTGTTAGATTGCAGCGGTATGATCATAGCTCACTGTAGCCTCTACCTCCTGGGTTCAAGCAATTCTCCCACGTCAGCCTTCCAGGTAACTGGGACTACAGGTATGTGTGTGCCGCCACACACATACTAATTTTTTTACTTTTATTTGTAGAGACACGGACTCACTATGTTACCCAGGCTGATTGTGAACTCCTGGGCCCAAGTGATCATGCTGTATTTTTCAACTGCATAACGTTTACTCTTTAACTCCCTTTGATCAATGAAGTCAGATTAATATAAAGCAAGCTCACAGAAATACAAAAATGTATGCTATTTTTAGAATCAAGAATTGATCTAGGAAACCAAACAATTATTACATCCTTCCTACATATTTGGATTTCTAAAATAGACTCAAAGTGAATTAGACTTTTGACTTTTGTGGGATAATAGAATATTCCAAATCTTGGAAAAGCATAAGAAGACTCAGTCAGGCAAATTACTGCCATGTGTCATTTCTTACAGCAAACTTATTAATATGTTACCTTGAGCTCTCTGTGGTCTGTCCTTAGCAGGACCAACCTGCAAAATAGATTTTGCTCTTAAAATTCAAAACCCATACACTTATTCGCTATACTCTTTTCTGTAATGAGACAGGTGCATCCCTGATTATTTACACAGAGTGCCAGGAAAAGGGAATTGTAGACAGAGCCAGCATGCCTTCCCAGAGATTCTTCAAGAGTATTCATCATTGGCTAACCCCAGGGATCTGGAAATGGGATGAGAGTGAGCAGAAGGAGAGCAATATAAACACAAGGTTAGAATTATGACTATAAAAAGAACTGAAAAGACGGCTGACTATAGGTACCCGGCATTTGTCTCTCTCACAAAACAAAAAGGCAATAAATAAACAACTAAAATTCAACAGAAGTGTCTGAGGGAGAGTGCTAGAGTAGAGCAAGGGAGTGGCAAGGTCCCTGCAGAATACACAGGCCCAGGATGGCAACACAAAGAGAGGAGTGAGGCACCCTGCCTCTGGCAACCAACTTCCACAACAGAATTGGTTCGGAACTGGGTGGGGCTTCCCCTTGTGCGGAAAAGGTAAGCAGAAGACATTCTACCAATCCCATTACCACCGTAGATACCTGTAGTCCTTACTACAAGAGAATCCCACTGTCCTCATAAGTCCTGAGCCCAGGTTGGAGAGTTTCCTGGAATTCACCCACAGCTGCGTTGCTCCAAATTAGGAGTACAAATTGTGTACTCTCCACCACTCCCATGGCAAAATATGCTGCAGCATGATAGACACTGCTAGAGTGCACCCTGCTCTGGGAGCCAGTAGCCACTGTGCCTCTCCACCCTTAGAGCTCCAAGATCATGAAGCCTACATGGCTGGCTGCAATACCATAATCCCAAATTCTTAGAGCATGAACCCAGGAATGACTGTGACTCTGGTCCTGCACAAATCTGGCCTGGCTAAACTGCTATGTACCCATGTTTCTAGCCAGAGAAATAGCTTGCTGGAGCTGCCTAGAGTATCCAAACTTAAATTAGCCAAGCAGCCTCACATTTGCACCCCTAGTTGGAACCCCAGCACCTGCCCTTAGTGAATCTTCCAAGAACCCCAGCTAGAGAAAAAGCCCAGTAGTCCTGTTCCCAGAAGACCTACCCCAAAGGTGCCAAGACATCATGTGCCCACACATAGCAGAGAAACGGCCTGGCGAAATCACCCCCAATGGACACACTTATAATGCAGCTGGCCTCCAGCATGCACATGCACAACCCCAGTTTGAGAAACAGCTTGCCTAGACCACTCCCAAAAAAGCCACATAACCACCGCTACACACTTCCACAGCATAGGACACTGAGGCACTTTCAAACATTGCTAACATGATTACAGATGAAGAAATGGTACAGAGACTACACTACTCTGTTCTACCAGAACCAAAGCCAACACACCCCACTCAACCAAGATCCTAGGACACATCTATAAGTCTTTCCCTACATAAGTGACTTCATAAAATTGGATGAGGCAACTATTCTACCAAATGTGGAGATATTAATGTAGAAACACAATACACATGAAAAAGCAAGGAAACATGACACCTCTGAAAGAAAACAATAATTTTCTAGTAATAGACTCCAAAGAAAATGAAATACAAAAAATGCCAAAAAAGGAATTCAAAATAATAATCTTAAGAAAACCTGGTGAGATACAAAAAAAAATAGGCAAATAATTCAATAAAATCAGGAACACAATAGACGATCTGGATGAGAAATTCAACAAAGAGATAGCTATCATGAAAAAGAATCAGACAGAAATCTTGCAGCTGAGGAATTTAATTAATGAAATAAAAAAATACAATTGAGAGATTCAATAACAGAATAGACCAAGCAGAAGAAAGAACACCTGAACTTAAAGACAGTTTTTTTGAAATAACACAGGCAGACAAGAAAAAAGGATGAAGAAAATCTACAGAAATTATGGGACACTATTAAGAAAAATATTCACATTATGGGAGTTACAGAAGGAGAAGAGGTGGGGAAAGTTGAAGAAATTGTATATAATAAAATAATAGCTGCAAACTTTCCAAGTCTTAAAAGAAATATGGATATCCAGCTCCAGGAAGCTTAGTCTTCAAATAGATTCAACCCCAAAGTCCTGTTTATGTCCCCATTATAATCAAATTGTCCAAAACTGAAAACAGAAAATTCTAGAAACAGCAAGTTACATACAAGTAAATTCCTATGAGACTGAAAACAGATTTGTTAGCAGAAACCCTAAAGGTCAGGAGAAAGTGAGATGAAATATTCAAACTGGTAAAGGAAAGAAACTGTCAGCACAGAATATTGCACCCAGCAAAACTATCCTTTGGAAATGAAGATGAAATAAAGTCTTTCCTAAAAAAGCAAAAATTTGGCCGGGCGCGGTGGCTCAAGCCTGTAATCCCAGCACTTTGGGAGGCCGAGACGGGCGGATCACGAGGTCAGGAGATCGAGACCATCCTGGCGAACACGGTGAAACCCCGTCTCTACTAAAAATACAAAAAACTAGCCGGGCGAGGTGGCGGGCGCCTGTAGTCCCAGCTACTCCGGAGGCTGAGGCAGGAGAATGGCGTAAACCCGGGAGGCGGAGCTTGCAGTGAGATGAGATCCGGCCACTGCAGTCCAGCCCGGGCTACAGAGCAAGACTCCGTCTCAATAAAAAAAAAAAAAAAAAAAAAGCAAAAATTAGAGAGAATACGTCACCACTAGACAAGCCTTACAAGAAATACTAAAGGGAGTTTTATATCTGGAAGGAAAAAGACAGTAACTACCATCATGAAAACATATGAAGATATAAAACTCACTGGTAGAGCAGAAACATGAATAAAAAAAAAGAAAGGCATCAAATCTTATCACAACAGAAAATGATCAAACTGCAAAGTTAAACAATAAAAGAGGAAGATAGTAACAAAAGATAAAACAACCAGAAAGAAATTAACAAAATGACAGAAGTAAGTCCTTACCTATCAATAATAAACTAGAATGTAAACAGATTAAATTCATCAATTAAAAGATGTAGACTGATAAAGTGGATTTTAAAAAACTAATCCCAATTATATGTTGCCTATAAAAAAAAATTCATTTCACCTGTAAAGACACACATAGACTGAAAGTGAAGGGATAGAAAAAGATATTCCATACAAATGGTATCCAAAAACAAGCAGGAGTAGCTATAGTTAAATAAATAAAACAGATGTTAAGTAAAAAGCTGCAAATAGAAAGAAAGACGTTATACAATGATAAATGGATCAATTCAGCAAGGGAATATAATAATTGTAAATATATATGCATCCAATACTGCAACACCCAGATATACAAATCAAATATTATTAGAGCCAAGGGGAAAGATATACTCCAATACAATGATAGTTGAGGACCACAACACCACTCTCTCAGCATTAACAGATTATCTGGACGT